CAAAAATTTGATTAGGATGCAAGTGATACCATGATCGATGTTGCTTAATTTGATTTCTTTTTTTTTTTCGATAATTTATATTAAATTCTGTTCATTTGCAGAAACCTCCGAAAAGTAGCAGCGCTCCTTCGCCATCAGTTGTACCACGGCCAGAAACACCGTTGTGCCATCCATCGTTATCCGTTACACTGCTACCCGTAACAACCGGTTGTTCGGCGATGGTGGGATGTATGGGCGCAGCCTATTCACCATTTTCAATAGCAAGTGTACCTCCTTCCCCGCCCCGTGGTCCACTGTTATCGGTGACTGCTCGGCCGTTACCCGTTTTGGCGCCTGCCACATATTCGTCGCTTCTTGCACTACCTCCGAATCCAAATGGCTTGTCGTGCTGCAATTGTGCTGGTCGTCATCCATTTGCTTTTTGCTCGCAGCCAACAATGCTTCAAGTTATTGCTAGTGGTAAGCTTTTTTGGAGCATTTCTGTTCCGCTTTTTCCACTGTCACTAGTTCGTCAATAGACTTGAGCCTTTTGCATTGTCTCTCTTCCTTTCCTTCCTCTTCTTCAGCAGTTTAGTTCACGTATTTCAACAAGTAGTGGTAGGTAGAGGGGGCTGCATTGATGATTCTCACTCCTATCAAGAACAGTTCTACTGTCTGTGTTTATAGCTAAACGATGAACTAGAGGCAGAGTAGTTTTTCGGGAAATATGTAGTGCACAATAACTTGGCTGGCTTTAGATGTTCTCAGCCCTACAATCTCTCTCTTCTTTCCTTCGCTTTCCTCCCCCTTTCTACAGTTGCTTCCGTTCAGTCACATCTGTATTTGCAATTTTTGTAGCGTCCATTTTTTTTTTCTGATGTTCTGACATATTTGGTTTGATGCCAGCCTATGTATTTGAGTTTTGGCTTAGCCTAGGTGAGAGGCCAGTTGACTTGAGGTTTTGTAATTGTAGCTGTTTATTAGTCCCAGCTAGAAGCGACTGTGTAGATGCGGAACAATGTGCAAGGGCTTAGAACAGTTTGACCTCTGGTGCGTGCTGCGCGTCGCTTGAAAGCAAGAACACCACTTCGACGGTTGGGAGAAGGGGGGGAGGGGCTGGTTTCAGTGGCTTTTTATGCGTCTTGTGCTGTGTAATAGCGTTACAACACGTATATTGTCACGGGGTTGTA